GCCGCGGGTGGGTTCGACCCCCCGGTGGTGTCAGGCAAGATGCCGGGGTGTGGGGAGGGGTCCCTGCCTGCTCCCCCCCCCCCCTCCCCTGCGGCCGGGGGGGTGGGGTGTCGCGGGGTCGAGACTGGGAACCCCCGGCCCCTTCACCTGGAGGGCTGGCTGTCGCCCAGCCTTTGCCGCTCGGCAGCTCCTGGCTACGCCGCGGGTGGGTTCGACCCCCCGGTGGTGTCAGGCAAGATGCCGGGGTGTGGGGAGGGGTCCCTGCCTGCTCCCCCCCCCCCCCGCTCGGGGGGGGGGAACGTATGCAGCATCTCGGTGTCCTTTGTGCTGACTCCGGGCTGGGAACAATGCGCCTTCCAGAGCGTGCACCTCAATAAAGGAGCTGCCGGCGGCATCTAATTCCTGCGGGGGCTCGAGGGGCGCTGGGCTGGGCGGCAGCCGGCGGGCAGACCCGGCATCGTCCACGGAGCCCCGCGGGGGTGGGCGAAAACGGGGGGGCTCTTTGTTAGCGCCGTGCCAGCCCGGGTGTATTCTGTGCACAGCCGCTGGGGTCCCGCAGACCGGCCTCGGTTCGCTTCTCTCTGCCCCGAGAGGAAGAAGGAGCCCCCAGAGGAAGGGGGGGTACGACCCCCGCCGAAGCTGGCGGGAGAAGCAGGGCGGGACCCTGCCCGGCTGTCGCGGCCGGAGCTGCCGTCCCGCGGGGCAGCGGCGTGGGGAAGGGACCGGGCGTGCGGGTTCCCCCCGCTCGCCCCGTGCCTGCGCCGGGTCAGCCCGCCTCTGCCGGAAAGGCGTGAGCCCAGCCCGGCCCGGCCCTCGGCGCCCCGAGCTCCCGGGCAGGGTGTCGGCGTGGAGCTGAGCGAGAGGAGGATCGGGTCCCCGTGGGGACACGGCTCGGCAGGCCCAGCCCCACACGGTTCCACCGACCTTGCCGTCTGGCTGCGCCTGCCTTGTCTCCCACCGTGGGGCTGCAGGGTCACCCTGGGGAGGGCAGGGCATGCCGTCTTCCCCTGCCCGCACCCCTGAGGGCACGAGGCAGGTTGGGGTGCTGATGGCAGTCTGGAGGGGGGCTGCGTTAGTCCTCAGAGGAGGATTCGTGGAGGGCACTGCCCTGGCTGGTCCCTGCTTGCCTGGGCAGAGCGAGAGCACAAAAGATGCTGGGTGCAGCATCGGTGATGGAGGGAGAGACTATGGGTGTGGGGCTGTGCGCGCTGCTGCGTGTGCGCCCATCTGTGTGCGTGTGCGTGCGTGTGTACACCAGGACACCTCCCAGTGTTGCCTGCCAGTCCAGTCTTCCTGTCTTGGAAGCAGGCGGTGGCGATTTTCTGCCTTGCTCCATTCAAGAGGCTGAGAATCGGGGCCA